TCGCTTTTTCATTCCAGTCTTCTTTTAACTTCACTGGATCCCCGACAGATAAGAAATTACAACTCTGGTATATGTGGAATGATCTTAAGTAGAATATACGGGTAAAAAATAAATTTTACAAGGTGAAATATGAGCCTTTGTTTTTATATGCATAATTAATATTATCGACAATGTCTACATTATAAACTTATGCAGATGCAACACGCTTATATTGTGCGTGGAATTATAAAATCTGAAAATATATTGAAACATCAACCGTGCACTGGTATTTTAATGACTGAAAATACAAGACTTCAGAATATTAATTAATCTGATCAGTCCTGACCAACGGCATCCAAAAGATTGGGAATTTATCCCCCTTCCCAATCCAAAAAAATGTGTTGCAAGGGGACCTATTGTGACGTCATCTTTGAGTTTATTGCGTAATTTATTTACGTAAATGCAGACGTCAACTAGGCCTTTTCAGTAGCAAAATAAAATAAAGGCTAGGATTTAAGCATTTTCTTTTCTGCAAAATATACTTTTAGTGATTTCATTTGTCAGCTGAACATTTTTATTTTATTGGTTTAGTATATTAAATTGATCTCTTCCCTTCTTGCTGGCAACATTTTTCAAGTGCAAGGCTTATTTGTATAAAATATTATCGCAATTTATCATTTCTATAAAACATTTTTTTAGTTTATATGCTATTTTCATGACAAATATATTTGTATAAGCAATATAGATATGGTCAATCAATGATGAATTTATTTTTTAACATTATTACACGAAATACACTATTATTTTTACTCCTAGATAAGAATTCGTCTCTCCACTAACTTTGTATCCGCCACCGGAAATAGTCATGAAATGTCAAAATTAACATACTGCACATTCCTCGAGCAAATTCTTACCCTTATTTTTGCTTGTCTTTCATCAAATTATTTTCAAATATATATGTTTTATTTTGCTCGAGGGGTGTGCACTACTTCAATTTTGGGAAATTGTTGTAAAAATAGTGGAAAAAATAGCAATTTCCGGAAAGAACGGATGTTTAAATCCTGTGAATACCTCTAATCAACGTACTTGCGAAATTTTGTTATGCATATATCAAAACTACCAATCTTCATATACATGTAAATAGTAGTTATATTTTTTCAAACGTGTATATAAAAATACGAAAAGTTGTGGGCCTTCGAATAATACGTAACATACTTAGCTCTTTAGCCATTGTAGAATACCTTTGCAATATATATATACATGTAGACTGCTAATATATCATCCTGTAGTGAGGGGAAATTACTTTCGTTTTAATTAATATAATATATCCAGGGACAAAAAGACTTCTATAGAAATGTAGTTGTTCTTAACTACCTTTTCATTTTATGATATATATATATATATATATATATATATATATATATATATTACAAGAAATGGTGTTTGCATTATAAACAATATTTTCTTACTGAAAGTTGCATTTTTGCCAGTAAAAATCAAGTAAAATTAAAGTCTTCGTTTTTCGTTTCAAGGAATCAAAAAAGAATCTGAACAAAACAGAGATACATGTAACAAAGGTAATATTGATTAATTTGATAGTTGCAGGACATGAGTTGTTTTTTTTATACTCTGAGAAAGAAATATCAATTCAATAAACTTCTTTAATATGTGTCATGATATTTTATAAGGATATCTTTATTTATGATCAAATTTTCGAACCATTTTGTCCAAAACTGCTTTTAACAATTTGCTATTTAATTTGTAATTGTCTGAAGAGCAATTAAAAGGCAGAAAGCGTTTATAGTTAAAATGATTGTTTTAGTCTTGTTGTTAATCTTGATTTTTGCCATCGCATATATCAGTTTTTTACTGTACTGAAAACTGGATTTTTCTTAAGATTTATAGTATGTCACAATGGTTTTTGCGGGAATATGATCAAGTCAAATGTTGCGGATTTACAACATATAACACATCTTAAAACAAGAGATGGATATTTGTAAAACAAGTTATGAAAAGAATGTCCCGTGATTCGTGGTTAGTAAAGAATTCTTATTCAACTCGTTTTGTGTTTTTATCACATCGCAACTCAATGGATAAAAAGTCATATTCAACCACAAATCATGGGAGAACCTGTATATAAACACGGTTTTACTTATGCTTCAGATCGCGCATGCCTTCTGTGTCAGTTGTTTATTTATTCATAATTATAATAATTTATCTATTTAGTTGAAAGGGTATTAGCTGCTACAGTGGAAGTAGTTTCTCTGGTTTAACAATGGGGGTGTTGGTAGGATTTACCGTCATGTTCTTTTTTCAAAAGAAAAGATCGGAGCAATCGAACAGGTATCCTTATGTTGAACTAGCTATAGCCATAACAAAAACAGTGTATTAAGAATAATCTACTGAACTATTTTCTATTTATAAAAAAAAGATATTTCATAATGAGAGAATTTTATCAATCAAATCAAAAACTTAGTCAAATATTTCTATACACTTTTTGTAACTCTTTGGACTATTTTATTCGCCAACTGCAAATTAAACATGAGCATTAGCAGGCAAGACATCCCCTTGCAAATGAACAGATATCTTGGTATAATTACTTCCCTCACGCAAACACTCATTCTCTCACTAAGCCACACATCTGCATTACCATATATTCTCCATGATTCTTGCTAGGTAATAAAAAGATAGAAAGCGAAATATTCAGATATCTATAAGATGATACTAAGCGTTATATGATATCTTTTTCAGAGGCAATAACTCACAATCGATGGATGATATATCTTCTGCAGGCGACCAGTAAAAGGCAATTCAATATACATGTATGGTCTTGAATAATCTTCGAATTGTGGATACAAAAATATGTCGGAGTGATGCAATGCAACAAAAGGCTAAAATGCTTTATGGAATGAAAACATGGCGATTTTTGGAGGACAAACAATGTTTACTGTTTTTTATGTGGTGTAGATAAGAAGACAAAATAAAAAGGAATATATCACTAAGAAGTAATCTTACTCCTTCTTTTAGGAGATTCACTTACTCCTCCTGGGCACCTGACCCTACCTCTGGAATTTCCAGGGGTTCGTGTTTTATGCCGTGCCCACAAATTTGTATTGTTTGTAGTTTTTTATGAGATCGATAACTGTGATTATTGTCATTCTATAAGATATTATGCGTCAATTTGAATACTACACTTGTTCAAATTTGCTTAATTTTCAACAGCATCTACGTGCATAAAAAAGTAGATAAAAAAAATTCAAACATAATATTTTACTCTTAATTTTATTCTTAATTAAGCATCATGCAATGTAAAAAAAAATATGAAAAATAATATTTGATAGGCTTTTTCCTTTCCAAAAAATATAAGAAAAGCTTGTTCCAGTGGTTTTTTGTTTGTTTGTTTGTTTGTTTGTTTGTTTGTTTTGTTTTTTTTTTTTTTTCATTATACGACTTAGATTCATTCATAAAATAGAAAACATTTAAAACGAAAGGAAAATAATGTCCATGATATAACGTAACGATAATTATTAGACATTTAAAAAAGAAAGAGAAAAAGCCACAATCTTTATATAAAATGTTAAAAAATATTTTATTGGGTACCTTTATATCTGTATTAAGATCCAGTAAGTGTCTGATGTTTTCTACAGAGTTTCAATTACGAAATGTTTAAGGGGGATATGTAAAAAAAAAAAAAATACATTCCACCTTATGTGTCTGATCGATTTTTTTTTTCAAAACTATACGTATGTTGAGCATATTATAATATTTTTAAAAAAAAAAGAAAAATCTGTATGGATGAGAATTTCAAAGTTAAAGTTCTTTCAACTTAGGTAGGAGCATGAATGATTCTTTAGAGCATGACCATACACTAATTTCGATCCATCTGGAAAGTATCTTTTATATCTTTATGATATTGTATACTTTTCGAGATGTTAATTTTATGCATTTGTTACTATTTCTTTAATAAATATAAATCTTCATTTAGTTTAAAAATTGATTCGTCAATCTCAAAATTGCAATACGAATTTGACGGACTTTTGAGTAAAAAAGGGAAGGGAAAAATGACAAATTCCTGTTCATCTTATGAAGATCTCACTTCAAATTCAAAAATTCAACAATGATGGTAAGTTATCAACGAAATGCTCTTTATTTTCTAGTTTATATCAATAATAAAAGAAACCCATATTTTATAAATTTATCGCATGTACTTTATTTTACGTCTTTTTTAATTTCGAAAAGCAGGACGAAATTATTTAAAATTTAAATGTCACGTAAAAAATACCTAAGCCTTCTTTACTAACATCGTTCTGGTTCACTACCTTCGGTATTTGATTTGACCCAGATTACGATAATTTTACACGGCTGAAAGGAAGACATCATATTCAGGTGTAATGAAGGCAGATGCAGGTAAGTGAACTAGTTTCCTAATATGTCAACAGAACAAAGATAAGTTATAGGAAGATGTCACGAGTGCCAAATATCTATATCGTTACGCTTCAGAGTAGATAAAAATTGTATGGAAATGTTAAGGCTATAGTGAAAGTAGTATTCTCATAGTCATGAAGGGTGTAAATAAATGTTAAATTGTAAAACAAAATTCTTAAGCTCACTGTTTAAAATGAAATTATGTATTAATGTGTTCTCAACAAACATTTTTAAAAAGGTATTCTATCTTAATGTGAACAATTTATGCTTTATGATACAACTGTATTATTTTTATAGATATGAAAGCGGTACAAACACATTTGTTTTGCCAAAAATAAATATTTTTAAAGTCTTCAATACTGCAAAAAGCTAGTAAGTCGTAAAATTGATAATTACATATACTGGCCGGGAAACTAATTTTCTATAGATATTTAAACACATAATGTCAGGTACGTTAATATTTTGCAAACAAGAGTATATATGAATTTACTTCCGCATTTCTTATTTTTTCTTTAGAATGCCTTTTATCTTATTGCCTGCATTTCAAACTCTAATAATGTATTACTTAAACCATGTTTTAATCTTTTTATAGATAAAAGTAAATTTTAAAAGATGCGATGTTTACATCTGATGGCCGAAAAAGGAGATCTCAAAAATAAAATTTTTAAATGAGGAAAAGGGGGGAGACAGCAAAATAAAATGAATACTTTAAAAACATTGAGATTTGGTAAGTCCTTATACATTTTGAAGGAAATTTGTAATGCTGAAAGATAATTATTACTTCAAATACTTGATAACAGCATTACAATGATTACAATGCTTTTGTAGGTATATGAAATTAAAAAAAAAACAAACAAAACAAAAAAAAAATGAAGAAGGTAATTTATCACCATGCACAGCTTTGAAAGCTCTCTGAAGTAAAGAAAAATTATCTAAATATGTCATACATTTACCATGCATACATTTTACATTTACATTTAACATAAAAAATCAAAAATAAATAAATAAAAATCACATATCATTGACATAAGATTGTAATCAAACTATTTTACTTTTCAGGCTTTGTCATGTACACTGTATCGTGTTTGTGCTTCTTTCAAATCAGTTTTACCCGTAAGGACATCAAAATCGGGGCACGAGAAAGGTGAGGAATAAAAGATATATATTTGATATTGATAATCGATGATAATAGGGGTATTAATTCGAAGGCCTCTGTCTTAAACCTTTTCAAAATACAACAAAAAATTCCCGTCTTACTTAAGTACCCATTACCACCACTAACAACATCTCCTGCTTTGAGACGATATATATAAACAAAAATCTTCCTTGTACGTGTGTTCATGTATACACGTATTTGTAAGGAAGTTCTAAATAATTACTTCCTAATAGCTGTTTTCCCAATAAAAGATTGTGATATTATATGAAGAATGGGAAAATCTATAACTACCCAATACTTGTATTAACGAAATTTTCTCTGTATCCGAGGTTTTTTTAAGGTAATTTATACTGTGAGTCTTTAATTTTTCAACGTGTTTTTGGTGCCTATAATGCTGAACTTGGATTTCTAAACTTTCTAATAACTTTGTAAAACTTTTTTTATACAATAAAATAAAAGACTTATTGTGTAATTTTTTGATCGAAAAAGTAATAATGTTTAAAAGTAATACGAGAATTTTGAATCATTGTTCTAATGAAATTCATTCAAACTGTCATGAAAGTCTTAAATATATATTAGAAGAGATAATTCAACTAAGAAATCTAATTGCTTTAGGACTATTGGTGCAAAGGAGGAGAAGTTTTTGTTCTACATTGAGAGTTATATTTTGTAATTTTCCGTACTTTATGGGTACAACTGAAATTGCAAGATCTAAAGTTTTGACTGCGACTTATTTAAGCTCTATACAGATATCTTCGTCTTCATAAGTATTCTTTTCTTATTTTTCTTCCACTGTGTTTGTGTGTAGTATGCATTTAGTTTTGTAAACAAACGTGCATTGCACATCTGTGCCAGTATTTTACAAAACTGGATGTTGAGATAATCCAGCTCCACTAAAGGATCAGCTTCATTAAAGGATCAGCGATTCCTTGACACATATCGTATTTCTCCCTAGGGACTGGATTTCTAATCAATAAACTGCCTTAGTCTGACAAATGTTACCTACTCAATGTTTTAACGACGATTTACATATGATTATTTAGTTTGTTTTACAACGATTCTAAAAAAAAAAACTCTTACCAAACGATATCATAGAATACATCTAAATTCTTTGAATTCTGTTCTTGGACTTTATCCCTGGTCTCTATTCCAGTCCGTAAGTTCACTTCTAGTACTGTACAGCAGGAAATTAACTCGCGGAGTTAATATTCGCTATATTCGCCCAAATAAAAATTCCGCAAATTTAACATACAGTGAATAATTCTCCAAAAATTGATTAGGATAAATTGAAATATTACCGATATCTGTGATTAGATTCGTTAACTCTATTTGTTTTTCCTTGAAAACATAAAAGCAGTAATTGATATAGCGGAGATGTAGACTGTCTTCCTAATTATGCGGGTGTACAAATATTACTAACACGTAGTTGTTTTTTTTTTAAACTTAATTGATAAATAAACATCTATAACTAACATTTAATTCTGCCACCCAGTAGAGGTGCTATGTAATTATCTATAAAACATGTTAGATTTCACCCGTCCGTAACACTCAGTCCTATTATCTTTAATTAAGGCACTTACGTAGTAAAGACAACTGTAAAACATTAATTCAATTTCATTAACAGTTCAACATTTTGACTACCGGTACTGACAACTTATTTAGATTCAGTTTTAAGGACATTGGCAAGGTTCCTGGTTATCGTATAGAATTTTTCAAGAACTCTTGAGTAGTTTTAAATGTACTAAACAGGCTATATTCTGGATCGTTTAACCTACCAATCGAACATTCTTTTTTAGATTTTTTAGATTTTGTCAAATCAGTGTTTTCACAATTCTTAATGCATTTCCTATGTAAAATGTTAATAAAAGGGACCTACATAAATTTTCACCATAATATTGATCCATAACCAACTTATTTCATACAGTCTTTGTATTATATACATTATTGTATCTTCATTTCCTATGACTTCTAGATATTTTGGCTGAAAATGTCTATATAAAAACAAGACACGGATATACTGGCACCGATCATTATTTCTGAGTTGCTTCCCTTAACAGCTAAATTTGATCAAGAGACTGGTTGATTGTTTTTATCAAGTAATTGACTGAATTGATTGAAACACATTGTCATAAAAATATATGCATGATTTTATTTTTATTTTTTATTCGTAGTTACTAAATACTGCTTCCTTCACAAGACCTAAGATTACTGTTCTCAGTCGGCCTACCTTTCAGTAAATGTCAATCTTTGCCCTTCCCAGCATACTGAGAATAACTGTGGTAAATGACGACTTATTGGCTCTTTGTTCTTGAAAACAATGCACAACAAAGCCATTACTACTTTTCTTTCTTGTTGTATAGATGATTCTACCCGTTAAAGGAAGTACACGTGCTTTTGTTAACCTCTGTAACATACGCTTTATTGGTTTCCACCGCTTAGAGAATTCTACACGGGAGATCACTCTCAATCACTATTTTATAAGTGAAAAAAAAACCATGTATTAAACCTTTCTTCTCCGGAAAACCTTGACTTGCCAATGTCCTTAAATATACTGCAGTTAATACTACTCTGTACTCTACTCTACTCAAAACATACCTATGAACGAACATCTTTTTTTTTTACATGAATGTATGGGATACGACTTGAAATCACTTGAATAAATCACTCGAGTATAGGCTCATATGTATTTCAAAAAATATTTAATAAAAAGAAAACACGAGAAAGAAAGAAAATTTATCAGAATGCGTTACATTTTGTCTTCTAATCGGGATCAGTTCGGTGTTTCGTTCTATTTAATCGGGTTCAGAATCGACACAATACGCAAAGAAAATACTTGCAGTGTGGAAAATGTTTTTTTTTTTTTTTTTTTTTTGTATAACTTTTCCTTTCCAAGAATTCAAACGACCGCGATCTGCTGCAAGTTGAACAAATCGCGATCTTTTCCGACCGCGATTTTAAACTGCTGTACAGTAGTTCAGGATACCTTGATGGTACTACATATAAAAACGTTCTAGTAATCTGCGCAATGGTCCCGTTATATGGGATAACAAATTCGACCCAGTTGGGGCCAACTAGGCAATGGCATTTGTCCAACAAGAGGCCCATAGGCTACATCGCTCACCTGAGCACTTTGGATAGGAAAATGCAGAAATCAGTTCAGTATTGAAAAGTTTTAATAATGAATTGGTTTCGGGGTGGTGGGGGATGATTTGAACAAACATAACTTATAATATCTTTGCTGTTCTTAAGAAGAATTTTATATTGATTTTTCCTTTACATTCCTTTGTATAACTATGATCCCCTGATATGGCCCCTCTTTACTGATGGGAGTCATGATTTGATCAAAAGTACCCAAAGTAAATTCCTGTCACAAAGAATACATATGTGAAATATGAAAGCCATAGCTCCAACCAATCAAAAGTTATGGGCACGGTTAAAGTTTTTGCGGACAAACAGACAGGCGGACGGACAGGGCAAAAATATACCCCCGAAACTTCGATTATGGGGGCATAAAAATTATTCATTTTTCTTTTATATACTAGATTAGTTTAGTTTTTCTAGTTTGTTCTTCGGTGATTTCTTTACTTTATGTGCGAGTTTATCCTCGTTTTCACGTAATTTTTGCTTGAAATGATTCATTTTAGTAAAGACACGAGAAACGAGTTTTGATTTTCCTTATTAAATGTACAAGACCAAAAACATATGCCCTTAACAGTCCCTTCCTTGAATGAATTAAATCCCTATTATTTTCGTATTTAATAGTAATGCATGATTTCTTTTTCTTCTGGTCCCTTGGATAAAATATGCTTCAATTTAATTAAATTCTTCAAAATCCTCATTATACAATGGAATACGTTATATTCATCTATATGTTGTTAGATTATGCTCTGAGGACGTGCTAGCTCTTCTTCATTATCTTCAAGCAACACCATGCCAGGCAGCCAATGAGACGCACATTATTTTACGTAATTCGATCGAAGGTAGGTTTCTTTTCTGATAAAGTTAATACGTAGAATTCATATGTAGCCTTTATTTTCTTTAAATTATTTTTGTTCCCAACAATTTATTTTGATTTGGATGTTCAATTTCGGGTTCATTTTTCTCCTTGAACATGTGTATAACAAGGGAAAGTTAATGGATTAAATTTCCATGTATATTTATTAATGCATATGTATTCATTAAAGTGCCTGATTTTAGATCAGTGAAGGGAACTTAACATAAATTATCATAATAGTTGCGATATGCACGTATCCTAATGTAGGGAAGATTTGATTTATCATAATATCGGAGAAAGGGTGGGACTACAGTTTTATAGTGGGGTATGTAAGAGCAAATATTCTCAGAACCAATAAGCAATGATAGGTACATGTAATTATAACATGAAAACTTTCACGGATAGTGCAGATTCAATTAATTCAAATATAGGACACATTTTACATAAGTCGAAAATAAATTAACTTTGCCCTTTAAACTAAATGCGTTAAAAAACTTGTGATTTTAATTAAAATTATAAGCATTCAGTGAAGGAATCTTATATAAGTAAAATCGAAAAATAACAAAAAGTAAACATGACTTTGAAAATATAGAAATATAGAAAAAATCAAGACTTAGTCTTAAGTTTTTTTGTAAAGAAAGGCCTCTCTCTTGAGATAGGATCTGCCATAATAAGAGGACAAAGATTTACATGGAATATAGAGGATTTCTGTTCTCAAAAACAGCAAGACTTAATGTTTTCATGTAGAACAACTTCATGTTTGTTCAAACCGTTGTCTTTATTCTTTACACTCTTAAAAGATTCTACTGGGCCATTATTCATATTAAAGGGTAGTTCACATTAAGTTTGTTTACAGTATAGTCTATTGTGTTGAGATGAAATTATTTTGGATAAAAGAAAGGTAAATTCAAAGATTCAAAATCTAAATACATGTATAACACATTAAATAGGCAAAAGTCTTTTCATGAAAAATAAGATCATGTTAGTCATTTTGATAATGAAGCATCGCTATTTTGTTATTTCAAGTTTTGTTAATATAAAATATGAAAATGTTGCATGTAGGTAATTGAAGATACATATCGAGATGATATTTGAAAGATGTAATTATCTAGCAATCCACAAAAGATAGTTTATTTTTAAAATATAATTATTCTCCCCGATTGGAGCCTATATATCAAATGAGATGATGAGGTTATCGCGTGGTTCATATTCAGACGTGTAAAATTTGTGACATGGATTTTAGTTTGTGTTTTTTCCAGTAGGAGATCCATTTAAAATATTCGTGTTATCTGTCATTTAAAAAAGTGTGTCATCGTATGACATTATAGCGTATTGAACTCTGTATTTGCGTATTTGAAGGCTAATTTTGCGTTTTAAACGCAACAAGTTTATATGCGTATTGAACGTATGTATTACAACTTCACTTGTTCTGACTACGGGAGAAGAAGAAGGTGGGGTGTGGAAATGGACAATTGCTCCATGTTATCCTCAGTGCCATCCCTACAGCAAAGAGGGGAAAAGTGCAAAGCAGATACTGAGAGTAATCTGCCTGAGCCCTTTAATGCAAAAAAGTCAAGTGACATTTCTTTGGACAAATAAGACATGGCAAAAGATGACTTTTTTTAGTTAACTGATGACCAGGACAAGAAGGAACATTTAGAAAATGACCCCATCCTAGACGAGTTGGCTGAATGCTTCGGTTCCGACGAAAATTGCGGAGAGCCTTTACATGAAAAACTGGCTAAAGTCACTAATGAAGGAGTAAGAAAAACTTTGAATGCGAAAAAAATGAAAGTAAGTGAAAAAAACAACAGGTCGAAGAATATGCAGAACTTAGGTACTCCAAAAATTAAGGAAGAAATTTGTGTGCACTTGGGCCGCAAAATCCGCAATCAAGACATGCATATTTAAAGAACAAAAACACTTGTTGCGAAATCCATGGTGCCACAGCTTCAACAGATACATATGTTGTTGTATTCAAAACAAAAGGGGAACACTCCCTAGGTTAAAGACTTGACTGTCTTGGCGATAGACGGACTGAAACTAATGACATACCTCTACTGTGATCTATCCAACAGAGATGCGAGCTGATTATTCAGTCTGAAAAGAACGAGGAATTCCGGGTACTTTTTTCCAGAGAACACCTGGTAACAGATAAACTGTTTGAGGATGAAGTTGGGGAAAAGGAGGAAATTGCCAAAGGTCGGATCTAAGATCTCAAGCCACAATGAACAGGAAAATTGAATTTTTTAAAACCGGAAACCCTACCAATAGGGGCAAAATCTTTTTCCTAGAATCCAAATTACAGAGCCTAGTCTTTTTAGGGCAAGAAACGACTCAGAATTACAAAAGAAACCGTACAACAAACAGTCTAAGAAGTACCCAGGACCAGTTTGTTTCAGGAAATGAGTGAATTTCAAAATTCATCAATCAATTTTATTGCGGGGAAAATTTCAAATAATTTTGAAAACTGGAAGTTGATAAAAAGTTATCAAAAATTTTAGAAAATGTGAAAGGTTATTCTATTGAATTTGACAAAATACCTTATCAGAAGTGGCAATCAGATTTTGGAACGCAGTTTGCAGTTCGCAATTCGCAATTCAAAAGTGAACTGCATTCCAGAAAGCAGTTCGCAATTCAAAATTTAAACATAAGTCATGGGGTCTGAAATTTTGAGGGTAGGGTACTAGTGGCCAGTTACCACTTCTGTGAAAAAAATGGTGATGGTACCATCTCTAGTTTCCGAGATATAGAACTCCAGTTTTTAGACCTACTATATAATACTACATGAATAAACACCGGGCTCGGGGACATCGAAGTCCCCTGTCCCGGGGTCTGAAATTTTGAGGGTAGGGTACTAGTGGTCAGTTACCACTTCTGTGAAAAAATGGTGATGGTACCGTCTCTAGTTTCTGAGATATAGAACTCCAGTTTTTAGACCTACTATATAATACTACATGAATAAACACCGGGCTCGGGGACATCGAAGTCCCCTGTCCCGGGGTCTGAAATTTTGAGGTAGGGTACTAGTGGTCAGTTACTACTTCTGTGAAAAAATGGTGATGGTACCGTCTCTAGTTTCCGAGATATAGAACTCCAGTTTTTAGACCTACTATATAATACTACATGAATAAACACCGGGCTCGGGGACATCGAAGTCCCCTGTCCCGGGGTCTGAAATTTTGAGGGTAGGGTACTAGTGGTCAGTTACCACTTCTGTGAAAAAATGGTGATGGTACCATCTCTAGTTTCCGAGATATAGAACTCCAGTTTTTAGACCTACTATATAATACTACATGAATAAACACCGGGCTCGGGGACATCGAAGTCCCCTGTCCCGGGGTCTGAAATTTTGAGGGTAGGGTACTAGTGGTCAGTTACCACTTCTGTGAAAAAATGGTGATGGTACCATCTCTAGTTTCCGAGATATAGAACTCCAGTTTTTAGACCTACTATATAATACTACATGAATAAACACCGGGCTCGGGGACATCGAAGTCCCCTGTCCCGGGGTCTGAAATTTTGAGGGTAGGGTACTAGTGGTCAGTTACCACTTCTGTGAAAAAATGGTGATGGTACCATCTCTAGTTTCCGAGATATAGAACTCCAGTTTTTAGACCTACTATATAATACTACATGGTACCATCACCATATTTTCACAGAAGTGCTAACCTACCCCTAGTACCCCACCCAAGATTTCAGACCCCAGGACAGGGGACTTCGATGTCCCCGAGCCCGATGTTTATTCACTTAGTATTATATAGTAACCATAAAGAGTGGAGGGGAGGATCTCGGAAACAAGAGATCGTACCATCACCATATTTTAACAGAAGTGGTAACTGATCCCTAGTACCCTACCCTCAAAATTTCAGACCTCGGGACAGGGGACCTCGATGTGCCCGAGCCCGATGTTTATTCATATAGTATTATATAGTAGGCCTAAAAACTGCAGGGCTATATCTCGGAAACTAGAGATGGTACCATCACCATTTTTTCACAGAAGTGGTAACTAATGACTAGTAGCCTACCCTCAAAATTTCAGACCCGGGGACAGGGGACTTCGATGTGCCCGAGCCCGGTGTTTATTCATATAGTATTATATAGTAGGCCTAAAAACTGCAGGGCTATATCTCGGAAACTAGAGATGGTACCATCACCATTTTTTCATAGAAGTGGTAACTTACCACTAGTAGCCTACCCTCAAAATTTCAGACCCGGGGACAGGGGACTTCGATGTCCCCGAGCCCGATGTTTATTCATATAGTATATAGTAGGCCTAAAAACTGCAGGGCTATATCTCGGAAACTAGAGATGGTACCATCGCTATTTTTTCATAGAAGTGGTAACTGACCACTAGTAGCCTACCCTCAAAATTTCAGACCCCAGGACAGGGGACTTCGATGTCCCCGAGCCCGATGTTTATTCATATAGTATTATATAGTAGGCCTAAAAACTGCAGGGCTATATCTCGGAAACTACAGAAGGTACCATCACCATTTTTTTCATAGAAGTGGTAACTGACCACTAGTAGCCTACCCTCAAAATCTCAGACCCGGGGACAGGGGACTTCTATGTCCCCGAGCCCGATGTTTATTCATATAGTATTATATAGTAGGCCTAAAAACTGCAGGGCTATATCTCGGAAACTAGAGATGGTACCATCACCATTTTTTTCATAGAAGTGGTAACTGACCACTAGTAGCCTACCCTCAAAATCTCAGACCCGGGGACAGGGGACTTCGATGTGCCCGAGCCCGATGTTTATTCATATAGTATTATATAGTAGGCCTAAAAATTGCAGGGCTATATCTCGGAAACTAGAGATGGTACCATCACCATTTTTTCATAGAAGTGGTAACTGACCACTAGTACCCTACCCTCAAAATCTCAGACCCCATGACTTATGTTTAAATTTTGAATTGCGAACTGCGTTCTGGAATGCAGTTCACTTTTGAATTGCGAACTGCGAACTGCGTTCCAAAATCTGATTGCCATCAGAAGTCGATACCCAAACAAATTTAATTCAGTGAGGGTGATATGACAGTAATTAACAGAAAAATACATGAAATGTTATAAAAGAAAATAGGGGAACTTGTTCCTAACTCTGACATCAATGACGATGAGTTAATTTCAAATATTTTCATTACACCCAAAAGGAACGGGAATATTAGAATTATTTTGAACCTGGAATATTTGAACGAATACGTTAAGCATCATCATTTAAAATGGAAACATTAGAAGCTGCAATTCATCTGATGACCAATGATTGTTTTTCGCATCAATTGACTTAAAAGATGCACACAATTCCTGCACCGTATTCGAAAAAGACATGTATTTAAGATTTATTTGGAGGGGAAAAAGTATCAATTTACCTGCCTAAGAATGGGCTAACCATCGGTCCATCGGATATTTACAAAACGTTAAAACTTTTTTTTCTACTTTGCGAAAACGAGGACATGTGAATGTAGCTTACATTGATGATTCCCTACCTATATGTAAAACTGAAATCGAAGCAGAGAAAATGTTAAAGAAACCGCAAAACGTTTAGACAGTCTGTGTTTAACAATTAACTGTGAAAGTCTGTTTTTTGTCCTACAAAATCTATTCAGTTTCTTGGATTTGTAATAAAATCAGAATTTATAACTATATACCTTACAGAAGATCGAGCTAATTCAATTAAAGAAAAGTGTTGAGAAACTCGTAATCGGTGTCAAGTGACGATAAAAGAATTCGCGCAACTACAGTGCAGGAAACTAATTTTTTTTTACATAAATAAGCATCAGCATCCATCTAGCATCAGGATCAGCATTTATAAAAAAAAGAACAGCATTACCAGGATCAGCATCAGCAAGTAAAGGATAAACCAGTATAACTAGTGTTAACCTACATACAATCAGCATTGACCTACTAACATTAGAAAATAAATTGGTTTTCTTTTCAGTAAAATATTGAAAACAGAGATGAAACTGGTTAATTTAAAAGGAATATACAATGAAATATTATGATAAAATGATTCCATATGGCACTTTTATTGCTTTGAACTGCAATGCTGAAATTCAATTATCTACTTCTGGCAGCATGATGCTACTTTCGGTAGCATTGACCTAATTATAAAACAGCAAAGGTAGTATCAGGATAAGGATAACTAGCATTAAATCATCCAGAAAAGGAAGCATTCAAATCAGCATGGAAAGGAAGCATTGAAATCAGCATCAATGTTTTAAGAAAATTAGTTCCTTGCAATGTAATTGAGAAATTAATGTCAAGCCAACCAGGTGTCAGATTTGCACCTACTTATCATAAATCGCTCACAATTGAGAAAGATAAACAGATAATTATAAAATAATGTCATTGATTGTATCAATCGTGACATGCATTTACTTGTATAGGAATATTTATATAAAGATATGTAAAAGTATTTAATATTTTAATTTTTCTGTTCATAATCTTACATCCATGTAAATACAACTTTAAAATTCACAAATTCGGATTCTAACTCTAAAGTCTTATTTGATAAATGTACAGAGCCCCAATTAGGGAAAAGAATTTTTTAGGTTAAACGAGATTACGTGGAAGGTGAAGTTTGACTGTAATTTCTTCGATCCAAATAGGTCCCGAGGGTTCAAATGCCCAACCCTATTAATTCAATAAGTTTAAGTGAATAATCCCACATATTCGTCACACATATACGAATCCAATTTTTTTTGTGCTCTGGAGTATGAACCTCGTGGTAACCGTGTGATCTCATTTGATCCCTTGGCACCCAACTGGGTGGAAGAAATTACAGTCAAACTTCACCTTTCATGTAAGTCTTGTTTAACCTTTAAATTAACTTTCTTGAGTTTGTGCTTCATAGTTGAATTCAAAATTTCATGCAAAAGCGTACTGCAAGTTTTAATTCGAAGAATAATTGGGTAGATGTATTTATTTTGGTTAATTACTTTTCAAATATTATCATTTAAAGATTTGGGAAAATGCCTTATATCTTGTGAAGTAACGGTCTCCAAGAAAATAATCGAAGTGCCTTTGTGTGTTGAACAAAACGAATGTCCTATAGCGTTTCAATCTACAATGGATGATCATCAGATTGACGTTTTCAAAGAGTTCAAATTTTGTTGCACGGGTTCCAAATCCTTTAACCAAATTAGGGTTCAAGGAAAGTGCAACTACACACTATATAGTAAGTATAGTAAATGCACAGCTTAATTTTAGAGAGGAAAACGGTATAAACTGAAGATATTTTAACAAAAATGAAACTATATGTTGTCCTGAATGCACACATTTTTAATGTAGTGTTTTAATGCTTGATTTTATTTCAGTGCATATTACGCACGACATGGAGTACCAGTATAACATGGACTTGTGTAAAACAAAACAATCAGTTCTTGAATAAAATGTCATATATTCAATTACAAAAAAATAATGAACATATAGTCGCCCGCATGGCACACTAGTTGTTTTGTTTGCAAAGATTGATTGATTGATTATATTGTTTAACGATATTCGAGAATTTTTACTCAAATAGAGACGTCACTATATACCTGTGAAGGGCTTTAATTTTAGACCTTGGCACTCACGACCATGGAGCAGTGAGGGATCTTTATCGTGCCAACACCTGTCGTGACAAGGGGCCTCGATTTTTAAGGTCTCATCCGAAGGACCCGCAACATTCACTTCAAAGTACCGAGCGCTTGGCGAAGAAACAGCTGCTGCCTATTTTTTTTATCGATTTAGGTCAGTCGCGGCCGAGATTCGAACTCACGACCTTTCGATCACGGAGCGAGCGCTCTACCGACTAAGCTTCCGTGACGGATAAAGTCGCAAGGAAAGGAGATTTAATCCTTACGTCGCAAGTTCGACCTAACTGCGGGACATGCAAGCCGACTCTCTAGTGAGACCATACAGACTAAAGTCCAGTGTCTCAGTAGATGCTGGCATGGCCATTGCTCAATGGTCATCAAAACAGGTTTAAATCTGTACCCCTCAACCTGCAACTTTTGGCGTCCCAATATAGGTAAAACGATTTCAAAGGAACGTAAAACAAATAATCAAAGTATAAATACTGTATGTTGAAGGCATTTAAAAAAACTGCAATCGTATCAAAACTTTAAAATTCTTCAACAAGTACATGTTATATGTAGAAAGGGATACCTCCTTATAAGTAGGACTTGATTAACCATGCATTGTTTGAACTAAATATTGCGCGATAGGGGGTAGATGCAATTTTGATGATATCTTCTGTAGTTGAATAAATATTTGCTGAACGCTAATATAAAATATTATGTTCGTACAAAACAGAGATTTTCTTTTTCAATTGAAAAAAAAAAAAAACAACTAAGAATTAAAACTAAAAATAATGTCAATGTTTTTTACTCAGGCTATGAATTGTTGATTTGTTTAAATGCTCTTTTTATCGTTTATTTTACTCAGTTTTATACATTAACAAATTATTTCTTTCTCTTGTCAATATTTTTAGCATAAAGCTAATTTATTATTTCATATATGGAGGACACAAAATATACGTATTGAGAATGAAGACAGTGCTCTTGTACTACTAAAGAAGCACAAATAAATTACTGTTTATAATATGACATATATTTTACACTTGATTGTTTGATTTTTTATTGTCTTTACCATAATGATTGTAATTTTTTTAAATACACAAAATCATAGATAAATATTTAATATGTTATAGAAATGGAAAATTTGCAGCTAGGAGAGAGATGTATATCAGATATGCAGTGTAAGCATTCAAATATGAGGTGCCTTAAGAGTCGCTGTTCATGTAGGACTGGGTATATAGAATATAATGGAGGATGCATCAGCGGTATGTTTATAATCTCTTAAGATCAGATATAAACACTTTGAAGAAACATTAGAAAGAGGACTACATGACTTTATGTTCATTGTGTGTGTCCTTGTGTCCTTTGCAGCCTCAAAAATGCACAAAGCATTTTAGGAGTCTAACATATACTATACATCAGCAAAATATTTTTGTTGTTGAGATACCTGAATTATTATCGAAGTCGCAAGTAGATAAATTTCACTCCTGCAGAGAAACATTTATATTTTCAATTTCAGAATATTTAAAATATTTGTTGGGAGATATAGTTTATCAATGATAGCCAAAACAAACGTATTTATTATTTGTTAGAAGGTCAGAGTTGTGATTTGTAAACACCTCTTCATGGAGAAGAAAACGAAAATCTTAAAAATTTCAAAAGTATTCTTATGAAAAAAAAATAAAGTCTAAAGTTTTCTTGGCTTTTCCTACTTTACAATAACATGCCTAACATGTAGCAATTTTTTTTATACATGTATCATTGTCTCGCTCTTAAATAATTCTTTGTGTTTATGTTTTGCGTAGAACTAAAGTCTTTAAAAATAAGTTATTCGAAATTGTGTAATCAGTTTTTTTTTTTTTTTTTTTTTTTTTTTTTTTTTTTTTTTTTTGTTGTTGTTGTTGTTGTTGTTGTTTCTTTTTTTTTTTTTTTTGTTTAAAACAAGAAAAAATGTAAAGCAGAATTTGTTTCAAGCATTAAAAAATACTTTTTCGTCGATTTCTTTTTACTTTCTTTAACAATTTCTTTAAAAAGATATTCAGAAATATAAGCCCACTTCAGTTTATTTATAGCAAATTATTTCAATCACCTGTCGTTTGCAATATCAGGATGTGTATAAGTGTGTGATAATCATCCAAAATCACGCTTTAATATCAGCACCCCCTCCTTGCATCTATCGTTTTCATTTTCTTAAAACAAAGTGTGACTATAAAATTGCTTAAAAATGCTTTGTCCATATTTTGGAGAACTATACTTTAGATGGAGACCTCGAGCATTTGATGATACAAAAGAATATTCTCCAGTATGACCAGGAATGCGAAGAAAATTTTCAGTGCTCTTTCTATGGAGGTGTCTGTTCAAGAACCTGTTCCTGCATTTCTGGCTATGTGTATAGTGGAAGCAATTGCATTGAGGGTAAGTTGCACAACCAATGTATAGAAGAGTCTTTTCAAAGTCATCATATTAAAATCAAGATGTATTCAATGTAAATATACGGTCCATAATATCTTCGTCCATGAATGGTTGGGACGATGCTCATATTATGAACATGATAACGACATACTAATTCTTCAGAATAGTACAAAGGTATATATTGCGTGACTTTTTTGCAAGGTAATTATTGAAGAGTCAGGACATTGGGTATGGGATTGTAAACGCCATCCCAAGCCCGCCCTGAATTTATCATGATTGTATAAATTGTAAGAAAAAAAAATAGTTTGAAATTCTTTTCGACGTCCAGGCACTCCTAGAGCCGCACGGCCGAACGTGATATATGTAAAACGTACCTGAACTTACAACTAGACAATAGAGTTTCATAAATGTACATCAAATATATTGCAGGAAATTCTAGCTTACCTACGTAAAAACATATGTAACTAATACACAAAGCATAGTGCGTAGATAAAAACCAAAATGTCACTTTTTGAATGAATGAAAAAGATATAAATTTTGGATCTGAGTAAGCTTAAAATTTAGGCATCTGAAATGACCTGAATTTATATAAATAATTTGATCATATCAAAAAAGACATCTGATTATGGGGGACTCAAAAAAAAAAAACGGTAGGCAACACTTCTGATTTAAAGAATGCAATATTGATAACAGAAAACTATAAATAGTGAGAATGGCGTCATAGGTGTTTCATTAATCTTTCATAAGAAAAATGTTCTACCATGTTTTTCTTACTAAGTACATATTATAATGTTATATGATTATTTAAAAACATAAATAGCTCTTGAATAAGAATTTACCAACCACATGTTATTCTATCGTCATATTCAGGACCATGTCGAACTTGGTTTTCTGTCTCTCCTCTGTCATGATCTTGAGAGGCTGAGAGGCTAAGTAGCTATAGATGTATTAATCATCTTTTCATTTTTTTTTCTTTTTTTTTATGTTCACAAATTTACTTTTGAATACCTTTAATTCGATACAGTCAATGATTTTTTTTTTACCTATATAACATCTTCCGTCCAGTAATAGTTAGATTGTTAATTCTTTAGTTAAACAACTAGGAGATACCTGTGACTCCGAAGATCAATGTTATCAGACTGACTATCCAATGGTTTGTCTGAGGAATCGCTGTTCTTGCACTGATGAATTCCTTGAGATTGACAAAAAGTGTATCAGAGGTGGATATTTTTTTTGTTTTGTTTTATTTTAGTGTTTTGCTTTATAATTGATTAACGAAGGAATTTTTTATCATTTCATACTGTTTTGATATACATATCAATCTGTTATACATTATACAAAATCGATGTTGTATCCACTAGATGACATAGCCCTGCAAATAGATGATAAATGTAACTCGGAAATCCAGTGCGAGAGAACGGAAAAATCGCTTACCTGCTTAAACGGCAAATGTACTTGTAAGAAAGACTACACTCGGCTTCAAAATGTGTGTTTAAAAGGTAATATTGATGTAAAATCAACGTAGTTTATTTAGATCACTTATTATTTATAATTAACTATAGCTAGCGCGTTGTGGCAAAATCAGTCAATTTTAAAGAGAATAAAAATAAAACATGTTCGTATACCAAGGATAACCCATGAAATCCAAGGGTTTATTTTCAATGTGCTCCTTATACACGTATATTAGATGTTAAGTTAAAAAAAAAGTACGTTGACAACACAGTGATCATAAAAAAATGAATTGTTGTATGCATATATACTAAGTTTTCACATGAATATTGATGTAATCAACTGACAACAAGATGTAAGATTAATATAGCTTGAGTTGACTTTCATTCTGGGCAATTCCTCTATCTAAAAATATTCCTGACATATTTTTAAAAGCAAAGTATTTAAAATACTTTTAACTTCTCCTTCTAGTTAAGTATTATGACTTTAAACATTAATTATTAACCTAAACGAGAACAAGCACGGGTATCATTTATTTGTCAGTCTTTTTGTATTGACTTTGGAGACATGCTATTTTTTTTTTTAGAAATACACATGCAACCTTGAATGAAGTACACGCCACCTTTCTGCATACATGTACCATACCCTAATTCTACCAATAAAAGCAAAGAAAATGACAAACAATTTTAGATTTTTCTAATAATGTTATAAACTAAATAGAGGATATTCAATGATTTGTTGTTGGATATTGGATTTATTTCATGATTGGGACAGGATATTTGTTATTTTCACGAGTGCTAAGCACGAGTGAAAATATAAAAAAAAATCCTGTCTCATGAGTGAAATACTTTCCATTTCCACAAACACTGAATTTTCTGTTTATTACATTTTCTGTGATTTTCTCTTTGTCTCTGTATTTTCTTAACACAGCATCAAAAGCTGTGATGTCATAGTTGAGTGGCTGAGAGGTCATACTTTAGCAGTTATGAGACTGAAAACATTGTACATTTGTAACATGGATTTTAGCAACATATTTTTGAAGAAATTGGCACTTTCAGTCTGTATCAAGACGGTTCAGATTCCGTTATCTTAAGAGAGGTCGGAAATTATTTTTTACTTACTTTGACATCCTTTCACACTGTGACAGAATATCACTTTTATTCAAGAAATAAATCGAAGCATTTCACTGTTGAAAATGTAATAAACAGAATTAATTTATAAAACTTAAATTTTATCTAGATCTTGTCAATAAAAATTGGAAATATTTTGAAACAATTACATTATTCTGAATCTTAGATGCACTTCTTCAAGTAAAAAAGAAAAGCTTATTATAAAAACCAAATCAACATTATATCACAAAATCATAGTGTTAAAACTCTTATTATAAACTTAGATATAGTTTTCTATATAATCTCTAAAAGATTTACTGTACATAAATAGCTGGTTTGAAGCTTCAAATCCCATGCAGAATATCTTTGCAATGTACGGGAACCAGCAACGCAACTGTCTGTTATGAAGGGAAATGTGTTTGTGACTTTGGATTCGTCCCAGTGGAAAATAATTGTAAAAGTGAGTGGCTTAAATGGATAAATGATTCAGTAATTTGATTTTACGTAAAAATATAGATAAACTAATCTCAATGGCGCTGTCAACGTTTTATTTCTATATTTTAAATTTTAAAAAAAGTTTTTTCTATTTTGCTTTGAGGAATTGATAAAGAACCAAAAGAATTGGAATCTATGGCCAATAAGGCAGACAAAGGTACTTCATTTTTAATAATTTATAAATTAAAGAATTTATTCACTGACTTCGTTTTTCTGTTTTTTTTCCCTCAAATAAGAAAAGTTCAATACTATATCTAAAAATAACTATATTTTGTTACAGATTTAATTAATCGAAAAGTCTTATGAGAGTATTTCCTCTGAAACTAGTTTCTTTTAAAGAATACGGCATAATGAGTATGTTTTCTTATATGTCTTTGTTTCGTTTTATAGTCAAATAATTGCCTTTGTATATACATTAAAATTTATATGTACTTTTTTTACATTCAGCATGGAATTTTTATTTTACTTCATTACACATTATAAATAAAACTAAAACTTTCAAAGACGTAAAACAGGAACTTCTAAGGACAAATCCCATTCCTTTTACGAAAAATAGAGATAACGAGAAAGAATAAGCAAACATGACAAGTGAGCTGACTCAAAATGTCAAAAATTGGTTGTCAAATACATATAAGTTTTCAATATTACAGTCGCTGAACCATGATGTCTCACAATCGCTAAGCTATCATTGGAAAACTAAATGAAATGAAATTATTTTCTTTAAAAAAATCGGTTTTCTTGTTACAAATATGAATTTTTTTTTCGATCGTAAGACAAATTGTAATATTTTATTCTTTCATTCGTTCTTCGAAAATCAAAAAAAAAATCTTTGAAAAACATATTCCTCATATATATGTACATGTTAAATAAATCGTTAACATTATATTTTTTAGATAATAATGTAACTGCCTCAGCAGTAGGAGCAGGTATCTCTTGCTTAATCATTGGTGTTCTGATAGGTTTACTCATCATGTTTCTTATTCAAAGGAAACGATCAAGTCAAAATGAAAGGTGTGTTTATCATATTTTCTTTCATTTATTTTTATGCATTCCAAAAATTAATCTTTACTTACCGGTCAAGTAATATCTTAGCAAAAGTAGATTAATTAAAAATAAAAAAAAAATTAAAACTTATATGACTTGATAATTATTCAGAACTATATGTAAGTCATTTTTCAGATATTTACATGTATGCAGCAAGTAAATGCATATCCTTTTTTTCCCTTACAATCTTGGTAGGAATAAAAGTCCGAAATCAGGAGATGGCCAAGAAGTTTATGAACCAAGAATGCAGTCTGGGTCTGCTTCAAAGCGTGAAACTTATGATCATTTAAACAATGTCAAGAAAGAAAATGCAAAATTCAACAACACTAATAAGGTACACAATTTTATTTTATTTTTTTCGATTTTTGCTGTTTTTTAGTAAGATTAAAATAATCGTTTGACAAGTGTATTAAATGAAATTAAAAAAAATATATAAATAAAGAACAACAAAATACTTTAAATTATTCTATGAATTATAAGGGAGATTTTAAAAATAGGAGTATCTACATGTTCTATATATTTCAAAAAGGCCAGCATTGTGACTGCGAACAAAATATTTATTTACTTTACTGTAGTGAACAGTGAAAATAAATAGACTAGTTTAATCTTACATATTTTTTTTTAAATAAATAAATTACATGTAACTGACTGCTTTAATTTAAGGATACGGGTGAGGAGGGGGGGGGGTAGTTAAAAACGTTTGCAGCATTGTTGTTATATTAAAATAAACAAAAATAGATTAACAAAAAATCAATAAGTGAAGACTTTTTTGTTTAGCAGTCAATCATAGACTGAAGTAAACAGGCTCCGGCAACTTCATTTGCATACCGTTAACCCAAAGCGTACCGCGCAAGAAACGAAACGTACCGTGCAAAATGCGAAATGCACTGTTCACAAAGCAGAACGAACCGTGCATAAAGCGAAACGGACCGTTTATATATGTGAATATATATGTGTGGTTTTTTAACTTGTTTTATTTATTTAATTACATATTTATCCCTCTTTAATAACTTTATATATTTTTTTCTCAAAGTAAACACCAAATATGATTCAGGTAATATGAAACACGGAGTATATTTACACTTCAAGTATTCTTTCTTTGTTTTGGTTTACTAGGGATGTAGTATGTATTGCGTTATTGAACCAAGGACGGATCCAAAAGATGACACAGCAAATAAACCATCAGAAGATGTAGGTGTATACAATCATCTCTTTGAAAAGAACGACGAGGGTGAAACTGGAAATTATGACAATCCTGAAACTGTCCGTGCTGCACAACAGGAAGTGAAGCTTTCGAGGGATCACTCAGAAAATGATAGATTTTTATCAGATGCTATTAGAATTTCCAACCACAAAGATCAGGATGAAAGTAAGGAGAATAACGATGAAGATAACTACTTTGTGCTCGAAAAGGAGTGTAACCAGGTGATCTGAATACACCGTCAATATCAATCTCATATTTATATACTATTGTAACAGGTATAAACCATTTCGTTGTAAAAACATTGTAGAACAGGATATTTTTCTTTTATCAGAATTGATATTTTTTCCCTGCATGGGAAAAAAGTTAACTTAAAACAGTAACTGATATAACTGCTATAGATTGTAAGTTCAATTGATGTACATTTTATCTGCAATTGCAATCATTTTTACATTATTAATATATTAATACTATTTTAATGAAAAATTGAAACATTTAAGTTAGTCTTATTCGATATTTTGCATGTTCTACTTTAAATCGTGCATAATGTATTGTTTATTAAGAAAAGGGAATTGTGATATCGAAACATTAAAAAACGGTTTGTTGTCCTGAGAGAAACGCTTGAAATAAAATTCATGTATCGTTCTCACTGTCTTTAATACTGCACAACACGTTATGCTTGTCTTTTTCTATTACATTTATTGTATTTTATCTTCTTTTTTTAAAGTTACTTCTACTTTTAAACATGATTTAAAATAATTAGAGTAATGACAAATTCATATAACATAAGGATGTAATAGAAAAATGCATGTCTATACATTTGGTGTATTTGCCACTTTTGTTTCCTGTAGTTATTTAAAATAAAGCCAGTTATTGTTATTTCTCATCAAAACCCAATAAGGACGTTAAACTAGTTATTGACACTAAAAACACTTTATTTATTTATATATGATTATGTAGATAACATATACTGAAATGAACTTGAAAAAGCAGATATTTTGGAAGCCCCTCCATTTTCAGTTACAAGAGTCATTCCTCTGACATTCCTCTGACATTTTGCCATATACATTCGTCATTTGACATTGGTTTTAAACTTTGGAACATCTTTGCTTCTTTTTTATAACTCATTTAATATGACTTTGCTTATTATGTTAAACATTCTTTAGTACATCAATTTTATCTTCTCGTCTTAATTTCCATTTTTTTAGCAATTCCAAAATGGAATTGTCATGAGTTACTTACATTTTGTAAGTTTAAGAAAAATGACGTGATGTATGTATGAGATAAAACAGGTTTGCTAAATTAACTGAAAATATTGATACCATTTCTTATCATTAGACTAAATGAAATGTCTGATCTTTTAATTGACAAAGGGAACTTTTTTCTTTTCTTCTAAAACAATTGACATTAAAATTTGTTGTAGATGTCTAGTTTAATCAAATATGCATGTATTTGAAGATAGGGGTGACTGACACGAAGGAAATCTGAAAAAAAATGGGAGAAAAGAAGTATGGTTAAGATGAATATTTTAAAAAAAAGTTTTATAATTTTCATATAACTTATAAAATTAATAATTAACTCACGTACAGTTTATCAGGAAAATAAATGTTTATTCATTTATCAATGAAAATAATTTGAATAGTATTTATTTATTTTTCAAAAAAGGCACATTATCATTTACTGCAATGAAAAACGGATTTAGATGATTGATTTAGAGTATGATAATTATTAATAATATTATTATTTTAGTTTTGTAATAGGAGATAAGTTACTGATAGTCATCAGGATATATCTTTTTTTCTCTGAAATAATCTTTTCTGATCCATAGAAATATATTGCACAATGACAATTGACAATGCTGTTCGTGCTTCACAACAGTAACAGAAACTTTTAGAGATCACTCAGGGATGTTAGTAAAATTTCAAACCACAAAGGTCATGATAAAAGAAAGGAGAATGAAAATGTTATATAGATTAACTACTTTGTCCCCGACAAAAGAATGAAACAAGGAGATTTCAATAGTTATAAATCGCATTCGTATATAGTATCATAACTGTTATATATCATTTCGTTGTAAAGATAATGTAAAATCGAGATTTCTTTCTTTTATCAAAGTAAGTTGGAGTGATTTGATATATTGTTGAAATAATAATATATATGACAATGTAATATATATAACAATATCTTTTAAAAAATAGAATCGTGCACCGAAAGAAACATTTGAAATAATTTACACGTTTTATCGTCTTTCTCCTCAGCCTATTTGTTTGTGTTTTGAATTTGCAGGGGATGCTCTGTCCTCCATGGCACCTGATCCCATCTCTGATGTTTTGGAGGTCCCTGTTTGCTCTGCTCCTATTTTGTATTATTTAATGGACTTTTGAGCTTGAATTCTGTTCGTTATCTCTACATGTATATATTTCATTTTTCCACCTCCCGGCTCCTCGTCACCATGGTCACTATGTAATCAAAGGGAGATCACCCGAAAAACATGTACGTCTTTTGTTTTTCCTGAGTGGCCGAGTCGAAATATACTAGGAGATTCAACATACACAGATTACATCGGATGCAAATACCAGAACGTTTATGTAATGATTTTTTAGCACCTTACAAAACACAAATTGTTATGTCGTAAGCCTACATCGATAGGCATTGCAATAAAAATGGTCATAAAAATTGTTAACGTTGGGCTATAGTTAAAGATTAATAGAATCTAGATTATCCCATACCAATACGTGTTACAGAAATTTCCTTTGACATTCTTAGACAAACGATTAATTAATATTTATTAGTGAAAACATTTTCAGATCTAAGACCCCATACAGTCCCTGAAACGTTCTACTTTCCCACTTGAACGGTGAGCGAACGCTGAACGAACGCTGAACGAACGCAGAGCGAACGGTGAGTGAACGATGTGTGAACGCTGAACGCAACTTGGTGAACGATGTGTGAACGGTGAGCAAACGCAGAACACGAACGGAGCGCAGACGCTAGCGCAAGGTGAACAGTGAACGAACGGTGAACGCAAGATGAACGATTTATTCGGAATGCCTCTAATCTTTTCATTGCATTGAAACTATTCTATTGTATTCGCATGCCTGGTGCTAAAAATAATAATAAATAAATAAACAAATCAATGAAAATTGTCTTAAGAAAGACGATACATGCACATTAAGTAAAATTATTAATTTAAGTTTCTTACAATATTTTCTGCACATATGTTCGATGTTTAAATTCAACTTTTTGATAACACGATTTTTATCGCTGTAAATCATTGTAATTGTTGCCGAACGCTGTAGTATAACAGATGAAATTAATTTAGTTGTAAAATAAATATGTTTATTCTTATTTGATATATAAAACCATTACAAATAATGTGGATTAAAGAAGAGAAAACTACGGACTTATAGAATGAATTATAACGGTTGTAACAACCATACAAGGCGATTCCGTGTAAAATAATGAGAAAAAAAGAAATAAATTTTACAAAGGTATGTTGACGTATTGCATAAATACACTCGTATTTTAAGATTTTAATGCAATGATATATTTATGTGTCAGTTTTATTTTTAATGATGATTTATTGAGCAGACTTCTACATGTATCTGTAGACATTTCCCGGCCGTGATTATAGTCGGACAAGATGATACAAAGAGGCAATCATGTTATTTTTTATATATCAAATTTTCACAACTTGATATTTAAGTAATATGCTGTCATAGTTTTTATTAAACAGACAAATGAGAGAGAGAGAGAGAGAGAGAGAGAGAGAGAGAGAGAGAGAGATTCGGTTTTAGCCCCCTCCCTTCCTCAAATGTTTGTACCTATATCAAACAAACATTCTAAATTTTGTTTTTTTTAAATATATCAGGCAATGAAAGTAACCTTTATTTTATCAACAAATCCATTTGTTTTACAGTCATAATCGGTTTTTATTTTCCTGCTTCAAGTTAGTCCACGTGCTTGACCTGTCAATCAAAATCATTCGACACTGTGCAGGTGTGAAAGTCTCGTCACACCGAAGGCAAAGTGTCAGTATTTCCAAGAAGTTTTAATATTTTTTCTTATCATTTCTAGATCTGATTCCAACACTTCTAAAAAAATAAATAAATAAATAAAATACATTGGGAATAAATACTTGGAATAATTAAGCTGCTTGAATTTGAAACATACTCCATGCCAATTTAAAATATCACCGCCGGCACATGTATATTTTGAACTACTATTGTTTAATGACTTGGTTTTGATGCATGTTTGTTCGAGACTGAAATTTTTGTGCTACAAAACACAATAACTTCTTTTTAAATGTTAATTAAAATATACTGGAAATATCAACTAAGTAACCGATTTAGGGGAAAGGGGGGGGGGGGCTCTTAATAATATCGAATGACAAACATATAAAGTTACGGAGAAAAATATCATTACTGGAGAATCACCTTGGTTATATAAATGATAATCATGTTAATAAGGCATTTCTCTCTCTCTAATTAAAGACTTTATATATGTAAAGTAGAAAAAATTCTTTTATGTATTACATTTGAAACAAACATTTTTTATACCACACTGTCAATTTAATTCGCTCTAAAGAAATTTAATGAACTGGATATCCGCAGTACTGTTTATCATTCTCAGAACAAGTTCTAACATGTATTTCCGTATTAAAAAAATGTGATAGAAATAAATATTTTCGTATTTTTGCTGCAGTTGGTAAATTAATTGACTTCGATTATTATCTATCCATTAACGATTTGTCGTCTTTAACATAACAACAAAATATTGCCGTGCTTGAAGTATGAGTATTTTGTCTGTATTTAAATTTAATTTTTCAGCATCGTTCTACATAGGTACATACATGTACTTATAACAACATTTATTTTCCAGATAAATTTTATAAATAACCTAACAGCTAAGTTAAAATAATAAAAATAATTTTTTTTCATGAAATAATGATTCTTTAAACACGGTATGTTATTTATTAAATTCAAAACCTGTAAATCCTTACTTTAAAAAGATAAATCCTTTAACTTCTGAGTTCCGAATGACACTGAAGACTGAACGATGAGTGAACGCTGAACGCAAGGTGAACGCAAAATGAACGAACGAAGAGCGAACGGTGAACGCTTTGTGAACGGTGAACGCGGGCGCATGGTGAACGCTGAACGCAAAACTGTGAACGGAGAGCGAACGGTGAACGAAGGGTGAACGCACGCTGAACGAACGGTGAGCGAACGGAAAAATGGGAAAGTGGAACGTTTCAGGGACTGTAACACATTTTACGAAATATTGAATCTAGAAAATTCGAGTTGACAAAT